GAACAACGGCTCTGTGTAGTTAATGCTGCTCAATGTGAAAGCCCGCAGGTGATGGAGATTTACTGCTGATTACAGAACCGGCTTTACTGATAAGATGCGCATTAAATATCGCATGCGATTTATCGTGCAGCCCTAATATATATATATATATCTCACAGGTGCGGTCAAACGATTTATTAATTAAATTACATTTTGATTGGATATAAACAGTTAGGTCCGAGTTTTACAGAGATTTCTTATCCTGTGCGAATTAGCCATTAATATTACAGATGTCCTGAGGTAATAATAATTACATTATTCCATCTACCCTTGTAAAACCAATCCCATCCGAATAGGGCTTTAATTTACTAAAATCATTGTCTTGTCACTTTAGCACAACAAATACCATATAGGGAGAGTTTTAAACCTAAATGTAAATCTTATATAGAAATTTTAACATGAAATCTAAGTGTACATTTTAAATACAACTCTTAAATGGAAAAAAATATATATATATATAGTAGGGGTGTAACGGTACACAAATATGACGGTTCTGTACGTACCTCGGTTTTAACGTCACGGTTCGGTATGATTTCGGTACAGCAGGGGGAAAAACTTTTTTTTTTAAATGGTTTACTGAACAAGTTGCTCTTTCTTTAAATGCATTCAGTTATAGTTTAAATGTTCTTAGTGATAAAAATCTACCTCAGCTTATGCTTAAAACTATAGGGAGCCCTTTTACATTATAAGGTTACAATTAGGCCTAACAACTTAACCGGTTCACATGCGTACCGAACCGAAAGACCCGTACCGAAACGGTTCTGTACGAATACGTGTACCGTTACACACCTAATATATAGGTATTTTTATTTTTTTAAATATACATTATATAAATATTAAACAAATCTTAATTATTACATGTTAATTCCAAAATGAATATAAGATATTTTAAAATATTAGAAATAAATGTGATTAAATAGTAAATGTAAATCTTAGACATAAATTTATGATTTACATTTTTAGATTTAAGATTTACATTCAATTAAAAATGCACATTTAAATAATTTCAAAGTATTTTAAAGGGGTCATGAACTGCCTTTGTTTTTATTTTGTACTGTTCTCTGAGGTCCACTTATAATGTCATCAAGATTTTTACATAAAAAAACATCATAATTTAGAAGTAATAAGCTATTTTCTGTCCAGTTTTTAACCCCCCTCATCAGAACGCTCTGTTTGAGTAGCTGTGGAGGATTGTAGACTCAGAAGTTAACGCCCACTGCTGTGATTGGCTAACAGCGTACATTCATTTCTCATAGATGCTGCTGTGATTTAGGTTTAAAACGCATAACTCAATGCATATCAAACGATCTGTAAGAAGAGACAAAGCAAACAGTTATTCACACTTGTGTTGCGACATTACTGTCGGATCCAATAGAGTCAGCACAGCATCGTCTTTCAGTTTCAATCTTTTTCAAAATCCCGAGTCGAATTGTGCCTTGTTTGAATCCGCGGTAAAATTAAGTGAACAAAGGACAGAGTTTGGATCTGGATCTTTATTAAAAATGAAGTTCATTCATTCTTTCCTAACGCTGGGATCAGAAGGAAGGCAATGCAGAAACTGCACAGCATCTTGTTGTCTTCAGAGCATCTTTATTGTTTGTTTCTGCGTAGACCTGCGCGTTCGCCTCGCTCTAAACACTAGATGTGTGAATTGGTGGGCGGGGCTGAACAGGCAGTGATGTAGAATTGGTGGGTGGGGCTGAACGGGCAGTGATGTAGAATTGGTGGGCGGGGCTAAACGGGCAGTGATGTAGAATTGGTGGGTGGGGCTAAACGGGCAGTGATGTAGAGTTGGTGGGCGGGGCTAAACAGGCAGTGATGTAGAAGCAGGCGTTGATCATCTTCTGTGGAGGCGGTGCTTATCCACACTATAGAGTAGAACATTCCACAAGCTGTGGTTTCGGCAGACTGCCTTCAATATAAGCTGTTTTTAGAGTAATGACAAAGTTTTGAGTTCTGAAACTTACAGGATGTTACAGTGACCTCTTATATGTCAAAAGATCAAGAGAATTTTGGTTTCTCAGTTCATAACCCCTTTAAAGTATAAAAATGTGCTATTAATAATTAGTAATTCTTGCTCTGATTGTTTACGCGTTTCTTTTTCTATTAAATTATCTTACGTTTTTCATATGAAATTAATTTCTGTAGCAGAGCAAATGAATCAAATCATTTTTGTTCTCTGTTTCAGAGTCATTTCTGGACTCGGACCCGTTTTCGGGCATTTGCGGGATGCCAGATTTCGATTTGTCTCCTTTGGACTCGTCTGACTTCCTTCTGGAGCGGGGCGGTGAGACGGATGCCATGGGCCTCCCACTGGACAGTTTTATCTGCCTGTCTCCGCCACACAACCAGGACTATCACTTCGGCCTGGAGGATCACGAAGGCGTCAGCGAGCTGTTCGACTGCGACTTCAGCGACCTCGGCCCTCTGGAGTTCTGACAGACGGATCCGAGTATTCGTTTCCCAGTGTGAACAGGAAACTGATTCCACTTCGCTTTTGAATCCAGATTTGCTCAGAGGGCTCTGAGCAGCGCCATTTAATTTATTAATAGAAATAAGTCGCCTTTAAAGGAATCGTTTACCCAAAAATGAAAATTTGCTGAAAATGTCCTCACACTCAGGCCATCCAAGATGTAGATGAGTTTGTTTCTTCATCAGATTTGGAGAAATGTAGCATTGCATCACTTGCTCACCAGTGGATGCTCTGCAGTGAATGGGTGCCGTCAGAATGAGAGTCCAAACAGCTGATAAAGGCATCACAATAATCCACACCACTCCAGTCCATCAATTAACATCTTGAGAAACACATTCATCATTAAGACATTAACTGTTTTGGTTTGTAAATGGTGCTTGATCTCTGCATATTTCTCTCCTAATTCAGACAAGATGACTTTTTCACTGGAAAAAGCAATATTAAAGTGAAAAGGTCTTGATGGATTTTTTTTTTCTACAAATGCAGCTTTCCTCTTCACAAGGCATTAACTTATGGACTGGAGTGGTGTGGATTACTTGTGATGTTTTTATCAGCTGTTTAGACTCTCATTCTGACGGCACCCATTCACATCCATTGCTGAGCAAGTGATGCAATGCTACATTTCTCCAAATCTGATGAAGAAACAAACTCATCCTAATCTTGGATGGCCTGAGGATGAGCACATTTTCAGCAAATACTTATTTTTGGTGAACTTTCTTAAATCTCCTTTTTTTTTTTTCGAACTTATTGTAAATCTAATGTCGTCGTGAAGGTTTTAGGATGTCGAAATCGTACTGGATAGCGGTTTGAATAAAAACTGACAGGTTTTATGGACTATTTCTCAGGAGAATCGTATAGTATTTCAGGTGAGTGATAGTGTACTAGTTACCGTATGTGTTTAGGGTCTGGTTATGTTGCATAGGTTGGTTATGCATGCTGCACGATAATCAATCCGTCATCGCTCGTGTAGCGATAAAGAGGATTTACAGAAAATGAACTTCAACTATTCACACAGTCATAATATCGATTAATTTCGAATCACAATTATATTCACTCGTTCCGTGCAAATGTTCATCATGTCACCGATTCTCTCGCTTTCGCAAAGTTCTGCGTCTTTTAAAGCATACTGTGTATAGGTTTGTGCGTTTTTATTGCTGTTACAGGAGACGTTCTGTATTTATTATAATTAATATCTGGTACAGTAAATACCCTATTACTATATTTAGTCCCTTAAAAATTCACTTGACTTGTTGTTTTCTTTCCTGTGTGTGTGTGTAAATATTCATATAATTCCCAGCCTCATCTTAAATATTACTCTTGATATTTAAAAAAGCACTATATATATTTTTGTTTTGTTTATTCCTTCAGCCCTTTCTAGGATTCCCTTTAATGAGTCCAGGGATAGAAATAATGTCTTGTATTTCTATTTTTCCCTACTGGAGTTTGAATTGTGATTTGATTTTATAGCTTTCGAGTGTTTTATAGTCATAATTCCACTGTGCGATTAGCTACAGGACAAAGCATATATAGTCACATGAAAGGAGTATAATGATATAATGTCAGTGTAGTGGGATATTTAAATGCATTTGATAAGGTAGGTTTGATTATAAAGGGCTCTGAAGTTTAAGGACACTGTTTGATGATAAGCTCTTCATCTTATAAAATGTATAATTTAATGCAAATTGGCCTTCTGTGTGTAGATTTTCCCGGGTTTTGCGTTATTCTGTTTTCTAAAGGCAGCTTTTGTTGTTTAGTTGAATGTGTTTTTTGGACGGAGACAGTTGTGTAAATCGTAAATGTGCATGCGTGTGTGATTTGATGTTTGTATGACAATTGTTTGGTAGTTTTTGTTTTATTGTGTTTGAGGTGGAGTTGTCTGGGACAATTCTTATGACGGGATCAAGCGCTTCGGTGAGTGTGATTCATGTTTATCTGTTTGTACAATAGAAATATTTTTGTAATAGGCCTTTTTTCCCGTAATTGGTTTTCCTGTTTACATTATAAGCCACTTTAAAAAGTGGCCAATGGCACGGTGAACATGTGTGTGTACTTTTAAAATTAAGTGCAAATAAAATCAGATTTGGATCTAAAGTCAATTTGAATTGCCTTGAATTATGGCTTTAAATTCCATCTGCAGCAGTTTTACGGTGTTTTTAGTTTAAGTTTTGAAGTTCAAGATTTAAAGGTTATTGTTTTCAAGCACTGATTTGTTGTTTCAGCAGAAGGGATGATATTTGTGATGTGATATGTCAATATTTCAGATTATCACCCGTCAATCACAGATTAATGGATTGTCTTTGTTCTGACAACATAAATAAACCTTTTGACTTCCTAAAATCACTTGTGATTGTCTTGACATCTGATGAGATGCTGTAACTGCTCATTGTTTTCAGATTGAGCTATAAGATCTTTAAGGTTTATCTTAATGGTTTACATCATTTTAAATAATTTGTTGCGTTTGCATGTAGATAAGCCTACCTGACATTTTCAAGAAAAATTGAATTAAATATAATTTAATTAAAGATCTGTTTATTCCAAATATTTTAATTTAAAACATTCGCTTTAAATGTCACAATATTTGACCGTTAATCTAACAAAATGAAATTATACCCCGTGCTTGAAGTGCCAGTTGAAACTGAATGACAGTGCTGTAAACACATTGGTGACCAGCAGATGGCACGCTTATCAAACCACTTACTAGTGACGGTATCTGATGGCAATACCACCACGGTGCTTCAGATATTATTATGGTACTATAGTACATGTCCAAAAACATTGTATTGCCATGTATGCAACAAATGCCACAGGTTTGTGTTGAGTGATCAAAAACGAGCATATGATGAAAGCATGTCCTCAAAGCCCAATAAAACCAGAGTCAGGTTGATTTAATCAGTGAATGATTAACCTGTAGATGCAAATAATTACTCCCATTATAACTGATCTGGAAGATTAATAAACCTCACATTCTAATTTCTCTGTGCCGGCTAATGGCTAATTTGCATTTTCCTCTGGGTTTTAATTTGCGGTTATGTGGACTCAGGGAATCCCGTTTTCACCTTTATCTGGTGATGGATGAGTTTAAAGTAATCGTTCACCCAAAAAAGAAAATTCTGTCATTTAACGTAAATAATGTATGCAGCACCACGCGGAAACGTTGTTTTCGTTCAGATCAAAGAGTAAACAAAGTAAAATACGTAGCCGCGTGGCGCTGCTGACACATTTGCTGCGTCCCAATTCGCCTACTTATACTATGCTCTAAAAGTATGTACTCTTTTTGTGAAGAAAAAGTACATACTTTTGAGTATGTAGAAGAATAGTAGGCAAGGATATACTATTATAGATTTTGTTAATATTTTGAAATATTTAATTACTGTTTTCACTTTAATTGTAGATATGGTTTAAGTAATTTTGTTGTTTATCATTTTTATTAGTTTTTTTTGTTCAATATTTTAGTTCAATAATATTTGACAATATTTTAGTTTTGTACTGTGCTTAATCTAATTAAATGAATTATATATATATTTTGAGTATGTAGAAGAATAGTAGGCAAGCTTTGGGACATACTGCTTCGTCATAGCTGCTTCTTTAACGGACGCTCTGTTGCTAGTTACGTGCATTCTGTCACTGTTTAAACTGCACTGTCAATCATCTTATCACAGTTAACATTATCCACATTTCGTTTAATTTGATTTCCTCTACATTTCTGAGCGTTGATCGTGGTAGTATGCTTGCTGTCTGGAGGGTCAGAGAGCTCTCGGATTTCATCAAAAATATCTTAATTTGTGTTCCGTAGATGAACGAAGGTTTTACGGGTTTGGGACGACGTGAGGGTGAGTAATTAATGACAGGATTTTCATTTTTGGGTGAACTATTCCTTTAACACAGACAGATGCTAACCTGGAGGCTTAGCCTTCTCCTGGCCACTGATCGGAAATTAATGGCAAAAAATTGGACAAAATTAAACTAATTCACGAAATTACGAGATTAATACAGCGAAAATTAAATGCAAGTGTCAATTGCTGCATTAAATTTAGATATGTTGAAGCATAGTTCTTTTTACGCGTTTTAAAGTGTTGAGCATTTTAACCAATCGCATGCAATTCTGTTGAGTTTATGAATGCAATAGCCAATCAGATGAGTCATCATCGCTGAAACGGCTGAGTTTTGAGTGCGTGCTGGCTGACTGCATTCTGCACACTCGCAAATTCTCTCGTCAATCATAGACAACAAAGTGCAGATGTACGTATGATGTAAGAGATTCATTTTACAGTAAAGACAGCTTCATTGATTATAACAGGAGTGTTTTGAGAGTGCTATAGTTCTTTTTACGCGTTTTACAGTGTTGAGCATTTTAACCAATCGCATGCAATTCTGTTGAGTTTATGAATGCAATAGCCAATCAGATTAGTCATCATCGCTGAAACGGCTGAGTTTTGAGTGCGTGCTGGCTGACTGCATTCTGCACACTCGCAAATTCTCTCGTCAATCATAGACAACAAAGTGCAGATGTACGTATGATGTAAGAGATTCATTTTACAGTAAAGACAGCTTCATTGATTATAACAGGAGTGTTTTGAGAGTGCTTAAACTCACGCTAGTGATAATGTTCTTTCATAATGTAATCGTAATTGCTTGCTTTCTGTAACATTAATTTATTCGCTGTTTGAATAGCCTTGGAAATGAAAGTGTTATAATTAATAACTTAATAACTCTTATTAAATTGTGATCACGTTAAATACATTTAGTCTTATTAAAATAATTTTATGGCATCATATCCGTATTTAGTATTTAATTTATGATGCATGTATTTAATAGATTACACTAATATTAGGTTACTTTTAGCCTTACCCTGAAGTTGGGTCACCCTCTGCCTATGACACAAACCATTTGTAAATGCAGTCTGTGCTCACATTTGCTGATAAATCATGTTTGAGATAAACATTCATTCTGTTATACATACATCTGACCTCTGACCTAGAGTCACTAGACACTGACGTCCTGCAGAGATGAGACTGAACCTCTCTCTCTCTCTCTCTCTCTCTCTCTCTCTCTGGATGTAGCTGCAGTGGGGTGTAAAGCAGAGAAAGGTTACCTTTACAC